TTTTGGAGAATTATGATTCCAAACATGGTGGCAAGTTGTGTTCTAGTGATTGGAGCTACAAATAGGCATGAAGCTGTTGAGCTTGCCCTTAAGGAGCTACAAATGCAAGGGTTATGATCCCTTCTTTGCTTACACACACAATCTTAGACTCGAAGGTTACTTCTGACCTCAAAATTGATGGGGCTACAAAATACCACAGCGAAAGACAAGGCCAATCATGAAGACATTCATTATTACAGAATGTTGAAAAATATGAAAAATATCACCAAATTCATCAAAAGAGTCAATCGAGGTGAACAATCTTTCACATTCAACAAGAGTTAGGTAAATGTCTCGCTCTCACTTGACCAATCCCCACATCCACTCGACCTGAAATTCAATTGCATCACTGTAATTCAACAGAAATTTTTCCAATCAACCCGAACCACATTCATTAGAAATGTACAATAAAACCAAACACTTAATCTTTATTGCCTTGGGTCTAGGCAGGCCAAAGCTTACATTTCAATATAAAACTCTCATTTATATGAAAAAGAGAAGAACAGTTGAATTTCCTGTCAATTTGAAGGAAATTTTGTTACTTATCATCAATCTTGCTTCCGGCAACATCCACAACAAACCGGTATCTGACATCGTTCTTCTCAAGCCGCTCGAAAGCTTTGTTGATGTAATCCAGCTTCACCACCTCAATCGTGGAGGTCAGATCTTTCTCCTTGCAGAACTCAAGCATCTCTTGAGTCTCCTTCATGCTTCCGATGAAGCTCCCCGTGATCGCTTTCCTCCCTGCACCACATTAGAAACAATCAATTTTCATATAAAAAATGACTCAAGTATTGAAAGTCAATCCCCGCCTAGAGCAAGCAACAAAATTAATGGGCTGGGAGTAGGATTAGGAGCACTGAAACTTTTGAAACTAAGCAATTAAGTCCATTTCATTTTATTTTTATCATTTTTATTCTTAAAATTTTAATTTTTTTCATACCATTTTAATCTATTTTTTACATAATGTTTAGTTCTGTAGTCCATTTGATCTAATGATAAATATTTTACAATTAGATACAATATTAACAGTAGACACTTTTACGGCTTAGGCATCTAGTAGTATGGTTCAAAATCCTAACATGGTTATTACCAAAAAAAAAAAAATCCTAACATGGTGAATGAGTTCATTTTCTCACCAATCATCAGCAACGGAGAAACAAACTGCAGGGGAGTGTTTATAACTCCGGTCAAGATCAGCTTTCCGTCGAGCTTCAACAGGGAAAGATAAGGCTCCAGCGGGTGGAAAACCGGCACAGTATCAATGATGTAATCAAGCGAGTCGGCAGCCCTTTGCATCCCTTCGGTGTCGGAGCTGACCAGATATTCATCGGCACCGAGATGCTCCAACGCCTCCACTCTCTTCTTGTCGGAGGAGCTTATGACTGTCACATGGTGTCCAAATGCTTTGGCCATCTTCACCCCCATGTGACCTACTCCTCCCAGCCCCAGGATGCCTCCTCTGAGACCACTCTGTTTCAATCCGAAGTGATTCAGGGGACTATACACCGTCACTCCGGCGCATAACAGCGGCGCTGCCTGTTCCGGCACCAAACCATCCGGAATTTTCACCACAAACCTGAGATAGAAACAAAGCGAATCCTTTACCCCATCCCAACAACAAAACAGACTCAACATAAAATTTTAAAGCAATCAAGAAATTACCGAATTCTTACTTTTGATCGGCTACCATGGCAGCGGCAAACCCGCCTTGAGTGGGATTACCGTCGGTGTACTTATCGTTGTAAGACCAAATCTTCTTGTTACAGTACTGCTCGTTGTCGGTGTTGCAAGGGCGGCAGTTTCTGCAGCACCCAACAATACAACCGACGCCGACGACATCGCCGACCTTGAACTTGGTCACATTGGACCCGACCTCTGCCACCTCACCCACCACTTCATGCCTGCAAATCATCACCGGAGATTGCAGAAAAAAAATCGAGAAAATGGAAGAGATAAAAAGAAAAAAAAAATTAGAGCAACTAATTAATATTTCACAATTAGTACCCAGGAACCATGGGGTAATTTGACATGCCCAATTCATTTTTGACCTGGTGGAGATCACTATGGCAAATCCCACAACATATAATCTTCAAATAAACATCATCAGGACCTGTATTCCTGCAAGGAAATTGAACAGATAAAGTTTAGTCGAATTTGTTTCTAGTAATTTCAAAACCTCTATTCTGCTACTATAATTTGTCTAATAAATTTGATGATGAGTTATATAATAAGTGATCATTATCTTTTCTTTTCTAACAATCTCTTATGAACTTAAAATTTCTACTTGAAATTTCAAATCTTACCAGTATTATTATAGGTACGATCGAAATGGATCAAAAGGGTGAGATTTAATTTACCTTAGAGGGTAGGTGTAAGGGGAGAGGATCCCAGATTCGTCTCTTGCTGCCCATCCAGTGGTGGTTTTGACTGTTTCAACGTCGACCATTTTCTGAAAAAATTCCGTGAGAAAGGGAAAGTGGAAAGGATGAGGTAGTGAGGATAACTGGGTCGGGTTTTATGGAAAGATAAAAACGTAGAATGTAAAAGCAGTGACAACGGTAGTCTCAGCAACAGGGGGAAGGGCCCGGCGTGATAGGTGTTGGGGTCAGAGTGTCGGATACCATACGCATGTTCGTTTCCTGTGTGGTAAATATCATACACAATGATGCACCCGTTTTGGAGCTAAAATCCAGTGAGCAGTGCTAGGG